TAGTTTTCTTGGCAAACTTTTTGAGAAGTGAATTGGCATTGCCTCCTTCCTAGGACTGAGAGAGAGCTTACCCAGAGTCACCCTTCTACTAGCTTCACTCATAGAATAGAATAGAATAGAATAGAATAGAATAGAATAGAATAGAATAGAATAGAATAGAATAGAAAGGGACCCTGGAGGTCTTCTAGTCCAGCCCCCTGCTCAAGCAGGAGAACCTATACCATCTCAGACAGGTGGTTGTCTAGTCTCTTCTTAAAAGTCTCCAGTGATGGAGCGCCCACGATTTCTGGGGGTAAGCTGTTCCACTGGTTGATTGTCTTCACTGTCAGGAAGTTTCTCCTTAATTCCAGGTTGCTTCTCTCCTTGATCAGTTTCCAGCCATTGTTTCTCGTCCTTCCCTCTGGTGCTCTGGTGAACAACCTGACCACCTCTGCCTTATGGCAGCCCCTCAGATACTGGAACACTGCTATCGTGTCTCCCCTATTTCTTCTTTTCTTTAGACTAGCCAAACCTAAGTCATGCAGCATTCTTCTTATGTTTTAGTCTCCAGGCCTTTGATCATCTTAGTTGCTCTTCTCTGAATTTTTTCCAAACTCTTAACATCTTTTTTGTGACATGGTGACCAAAATTGGCTGCAGTATTCCAGGTGTGATCTTACTACTAGGGCTTTGTAAAGCGGTACTAGTATGTGTGATCTTGATTCTATGCCTCTGTTTATACAACCCAGGATTGTATTAGCTTTTTTGGTTGCTGCTGCACACTGCTGGCTCATAGTCAAGTGATCATCCACTAGGACTCTAAGGTCCCTCCCACAATTACTGTTTTTAAGCCAGGTCTCGCCCAATCTGTATTTGTGCCTTTGGTTTTTCCTGCCTAAGTGTAAGACTTTGCTTTTCTTCACATTCAAACTCATTTTTGTGGATAGGGCCCATTGCTCGAGTTTGTCAAGATCTTTTTGGATCCTGAGTTTGTCTTCTGAGGTATTGGCTACTCGTGACAGTTTGGTATCATCTGCAAATTTGATGAGTTCCCCTTCAATTCCCTCATCTATGTCATTTATGAAGATATTGAAGAGTACTGGGCCTAAGACAGAACCTTATGGCACCCCACTGCTAACTTCTCTCCATGTGGATGTAGTCCCATTGAGGACTACTAGCTGAGTACGGTTTATCAGCCAGTTACATATCCATCTGGTGGTGATGTTGTCTATTCCACCTTTTGCTAGCTTAGCAATTAGTAGGTTGTGGTCTACTTTGTCAAATGCCTTACTAAAATCCAAGTATACTATGTCCACTGTGTTTCGCTAGTCTATTACTTTAGTCACTTTGTCGAAGAATGAGATGAGATTAGTTTGGCATGATCTGTTTTTAATAAATCCATGCTGCTACTAGATATGACTTTGTTTGCTCTCCTGCTCACTGCAGAGTTTGTCTCCCAGTTGATATCTGGATAGTTGAAGTCTCCCATTACTACTATGGTATGCTTCCTGCATACATTTGTTAACTGGTTGGCAAAGAGATCATCTATTTCTTCTGATTGGTTGGGTGGCCTGTAATATATACCTATGGTAATGTCACCTTTTTCTCTTTTATATTGACCCATATACATTCTGGAGAGATTTTGTCTTGGATCATGTGCATTTCTGCAGATATGTAATGTTCTCTTACATATAGTGCAACTCCCCCTTCTCTTTTTGTAGACCTGTTTCTTTTGAACAATTTGTATCCATCCATCAGTCCATTCCATTCATGGGTTTCATCCCACCAGGTTTCTGTTATGCCAACTATGTCATACCCTCCCTCATGTACTATTGCTTCTAGTTTGCCCTGTTTGTTCCCCAAGCTTTGGGCATTTGTATATACACATTTAAGACTTTTATGCCTGTCCATGGGAGTGTTTCCTGTATATCCTGATCGTTGTTTGAGTTTTTCTTTTTTTTCATCACTGCCTACCTGATTGTTTGATTTGTTTTCTTGGGATTTGCGATTGGTTTTGGGTTCTAGAGATTCTAGAGATTGGTTACCCTTCCCCCCTCAGTTTTAGTTTAAAGCCCTCCTGATGAGTTGGGCCAGTCTTTTTCCAAGTATATTTTTGCCTGTTTTCGTGAGGTGTAGCCCATCCCTTGCCAAGAATCCTTTGTGTAGAAAATGCAGTCCATGATCCAGGAAACCAAAGTTTTCTTGGCGACACCAGGGCAGGACTAGAATTCATGGCTCCTGGTTTTTAGCTTGATTCCACTATGCTATACCAAACTGGCTCTCACTGTATAGAGGTACAGTAGTCCTCTTTTAAAACAGGAATATTCTAATTCTACTTTAAGAAACATGCTTACCCTGGAAGAGAACCTATATCCTTTTTGCATTCAGGGAAATCCTCAAGATGATCTTGCTTTAATGGGCCACTGGCCTTAGAATAGCTTATAGGGTGTATTATTTGTTTTCTAATTATTTACTTATATTCTTATATTGAATATAAGAATTTTAGTTAATTACTTATTTTTAATTTTGTATATATTCCATTGTTGTTTTGCTCATGTACACTGCCCAGAATCAAAGAGGTTGATTTATAAATGCTGTTAAATAAATGAATCAATCAGCCACTGAATTTGCCATAATAAATCATAAATGGGTAAGCACAAATGCTGGGTTACAATGTGGTTGACTCAATGTTTTGGCAAACCTAGTCAGTTTTACTAATTTATAAGATAATAAATAGTTGCTTATGCAAGTAGGTTAATTTGGTCATTTGGGAATAAGTTGATTATAGATTAAGTTCTGGTACAAATTCAGCTAGTTATGAGAAAAACTTTGTCACAAATTCATCCTTGGCAAGTGAACCTTAATTTTGTGCTTACATTTCTTAAGCTCAGTGCAAGCTTTCTTTATCTAGGTGAAAGGGATATATGCTGAACATTTTGGATGACCCTCAAGTAATCTGGTTATCGTATTTGTGAAAAAGACAGGGCAAGATGCCCATGCTTGTCCAAACAAAGAAGGATTTCTAACCTTGTGAATTAAGCTAAAGGTTTTCAGAAGCTAAACACTGGCAGCAACGTCCAAATGACTGACTCAGGACAACCAATGCATTTTAATGGAGACACTGTGTAGGCCAAATCCATTGAAAGTAGTTCAGAAAGAAACAGATCTACAGAGAAACCACTCATTACGCAAGTCTGCATCACTAGTAATTCCAGCCGTGCAACTTCAGTCCACGGGTTGCCTTTAGTTGCAACACACCAGACAATATTGATGTGCCTTTATTACCAGAACATTTTCCTCAAGTGCCAATTTAACCTTATATAGGTAGTCCTCAACTTATGACCACAAATGAGCCCAACATTTCTGTTGTTAAGTGAGACATTTGTTAAGTGAATTTTGCCCCACTTTATGACCTTTCTTGCCTTAGTTGTTAAGTGAATCACTGCAGTTGATAAGTTAGTAATCCTGTTGTTAAGTGAATCTGGCTTCCCCATTGATTTTGCTTGTCAGAAGGTTGCAAAAAGTGATCACATGACCCTGAGACACAACAACGGTCATAAATATGAACCAGTTGCCAAGCATCTGAATTTTGGTCAAATGATCATGGAGATGCTGGAAAGGTCATAACTTTGAAAAACAGTCATAAGTCACTTTTTTCAGTGCCCTTGTAACTAAACAAACCGTTGTAAGTAGAGGACTACCTGTAATTTACAGAAGGAAATTTAGTTGAATCTATGGTAGCAATAATAACAACAAATTCTAATGGCTTTTGTGAAATGATGCATGAACTCTACTTCATTAGCATATAAGCAATAACATTCTTCCTACTTGATACCACAGGTTGTCTGACCAGCCATGCATTTCTTTGCTTTTTCTCCTTACGTTTATATATTTGACAGAGATTTCTATAGACGTCCTGTTCTGATGAGCCTGGAGGTTTCAGGGAATTCCAGGAACAGGGAATTTTTATATTCAAATGAAAGGGCACAACATGGCATATCTGAACTATGCACTTTGCCTTTCCTCCCCAGCAATAAAACTGTAATTAACATGGCAGAAGGACCAGCTAAGGAGCACGTTGAGATACTCTAGCTCTGTATTATATCAGTTTTGGAATGAGTTAGTGGTGTGGAGATTCATGCATTGCACTTTTGTTTTGAAATAGCATAACTAAATTTCCAGTCTTTCTGAACAGAATATTCCTTCACAAAACAAAAGAAGCAAAATCTGCCACTTATCTTTGCTTCACTAGTTAACTTACTGCTGTACAGTCAGTACAAAGTTGCAGGCTACTTATACAGGTAGTCCTCGAGTTACGACCACAATTGAACTTAAAATTTGTTGTATTTGTTTATGAGTTGCCCCATTTTATGACTTCTCTTGCCACACTTCTTAAGTGAATCATTGCATTTGTTAAGTAACATGGTTGTTAAGTGCATCTGGCTTCCCCATTGACTTTGCTTGTCAGAAGGTCACAAAAGACGATCAGAGGACCCCAGGACATGTAACTGTCATAAATACGAACTAGTTGCCAACATTCTGAATTTTGACTATGTGACTATGGGGATACTGCAATGTCGTAAATGTGAAAAAATGGTTATAAGTCACTTTTTTCGGTGCTGTTTTGACTTTGAACGGTCACTAAAAAAACTGTAAGTCGAGGACTACCTGTACTTTGCGCAGCCAAGTATTTGTAGGGCTCGGTAATGCACAAAGTGTATGCTCCGTTGGAATCTCCAGCATTAAGCCAAGAAGTAGTTTGCGTGTTTGTATGTTTCATATATATATATGAAAGTTCAATGAGAAATGCACGAACACTTTGCCCGCGGAAATCCCCCATTTGACCCAACAAGGTTAAGCTCACGGAGCCCTGACCACCAAGACGCCGCGCTGACCGTGATTCTTCAGTCCTAATCAGGCGCCAGCTCGTCAAGGTCTAAAGCAGACTGGAAGGGAAGATAGGCCGAGTCGCATCAGGTGATTGGTTGTGAAGGGGCGGGCTTGGGCTGGGCTTCTTCTCACATGACCCAGCCGCTGGTGCATATTTTTCCGCCCGCTAAGCACCGGCTCCAGAGCAGTTCCTTGTTCTTCGGGTCTGCGCCACAGCGGATGAAAGGAGGAAAAATGTTGGCTGTTACCCTGCTTTTGCTTCTGGCCGTCGGCTCCGGGGTGTTGGCCGAACCCGTTAAGTTCGTTGACTGTGGTGAGTAATTCTTTTGCATTGTGACTGTTTTGGACCCTTTAACTTTAAGCACCACCCGAGAGTTGCCAACTCCTCCTCCTGCTCTTAGGGATCACATGGCATTGTGATGCTTGCAGTGATTCCTCCGGACAGAGAACTCTGGTGGATGATCTCTGTAGGCGGCTATGAAAGCGTGAGCGAGAAGCCTTGTGCCTAAGAGCAAAGCAAGCGCCCACCGTCACATTTTTCGGCAGCCCCAGAAAGTAATAAAGTAATAAAAGTAATAAAGAGACCAGAATCCCGAAGCGATTCTTCTCGAAGGAAGCTGGGGAATCTGTGATCAAATGGTTGTTTTGGGGTTCATTCTATTGTAGCAGGCGAGTTCATGAAGGAGTCCGGCTTCTTTCCATCTTTCCCCTAAAACCACTTTCACAAGTCAGTTTGCTCCAACTTAGAGCTACCTGTTGGAGGCTTCTTGTAGTCAGGACGTGCCAGTTATTGTACCTAACAGGGTTCAGCTTTGGTGTTTGCAAACTGCGTTAGATGGTCTCTCAATTTCATCTGCTACATCATAAATATATCACCCATCAGGTGATTTTTCCCTTAAGCCTGCTTCTCCCAAGTTTTAGGTTTTCTCTTCCAGGAATTACCAACTTGGAGCGAAAGTAGGAAAAATCCAGTTCGATAGAATCCATCTAATGCAGGAAAGATCATTGATAGTATTTTTATTTATAAATCACTAATGAAGAGCTAGAAACTATTATTTTATATATCCTTTATCTTCTAAAAATATGGAGTTTTTAATCTTTATTCACCTGTTGCTCAGGCTTAATGATAATGGTAGCTCAAACATGTTTGACTTTTGACATGACTTGAAATTTTCTAGCCAACATGAATGTATCTGAAGTTATACTAGAATGTAACTCAAATGTATCAGAAAAAAATTGCTCTTTGATTGTAACACTTTGAAACAGGATTATAAATAGCTAGTTTCTATGCCTTGAACTTTTTTCCCCAGCTCATATTATAGGAGCTGCAGCTGAAATTGTGAGCCCTCACTGGGTAGAGCCAAGGAACTAGCCCACAGTATGAGATTTTGTTCACTAGTGATGTTTTGACAGACATTTATAGGAAGAAAAAAGAGATATTTCATATAGAACAGCACATTTCTGATTCTAACCTATTTTTCTATTTTTATTTTTTTTTTGTAAATTCTAGCCTTTGGCAGAATGAATAATTGCTGTTTCTTAACTATAATTCCAAAACACCCAGTCTGATTTCTGCCACAGCCATGTTATATACAATGTCTTGCATAGAGATGATATATACATGCAGGAAGATCTGATGTGCAAAGCAGATTTGCATTTTGGCTAGGATTGCTAATACAGTTGCAGGCTTTTCTTTGAGACTGGAAGTATAGTTATTTCAATATAATTGGCCATTTGCCATCTCATTTTGTCGTCTTTGTCTACTTTTGAGAGTACTGATCTTCCGGGTCACTCAGATTCAAAATACAGCTATCTGCCTGATAAATCTGCATCAAGCTGTGAATGAATTTTGAATGGGTTAGTGGGAGTTTTTTCTTCTGATTTTCTCCCATTAAGTCCCCTCATGGGTGTCAAACTGCCAGCCCGCAGGCCGGATGTGTCACGCCAAAATTGCTCCCACCCCATTGCCGGCAATGGGAAAAAAGTCATGATACGTTGCAACATGTCACGTGACGTCGCAGGTTTGACACCCATACTCTAAACCATTGTTTCTCAACCTTGACAATTTTAAGGCATGTGGACTTCAACTCCCAGAATTCCACAGCCAGCAACAATTGTCAAGTTGAGAAACACTGCTCTAAACTGTTCCTGAACACTGAGGAGATTCTCAAAAACTGAAGGGGATTGGTGTGGAGGGTGGAAGGACAGGAAGGAAGCTGATGAAATCCTTCCTGCTAAAAGCTATTTCTTAAAGACAAAGCTATTTCATCCAGAGTTGGCTGCAATTATAAGATTTTATTTCTTTGTATCCTGCCTTTATTTTTACAAATAACTCAAGGTGACAAACATCCATCCCACCTTTGTCCTCCTAGTTTTCCTCATCTGTATTGAGGTGAGTTGAGCTGAGAGAGAGCAATTAGCCCAAAGTCACCCAGCTGGCTTTCATGGTTAGGACAGAATGTGAACTCACAATCTCCTGCTTTCTAGTCTGATGCCTTAACCACTAGACCAAACTTGGTCTCAGTTTATTCAAGTACATTTAGTACTTTACTTCTGAATAGATTTATGTACAATTTCATTGGAGGATTGTCTTATAAACACTAATAGGATGTAAACAAAAGATAATGTTCTGTTCTGAACTGGGGAAGCCTCATATCATGGATTATTGGAATGGGCTGTCCTTGAAGACTACTCAGAAAGCACAAGTAGTACAGAATGCAGTGAATGGGCAACGTTGCCATATCTTGTTTTGTCTGTGTGACCTCACTGCTTTGTGAGCTGCACTGCTTACCTGCTGGTGTTGTAGGTGCAATTCAAAGTTCTGGTTACTACTTATAATGCTCTTAATAGTACAGTGCCAGATTGTTTGTTGGACTGCCTATCTGCAGTTGTTTCTGCCATCCTAGTGTGATCAGGCAGAGCGGGCGTACCTCTGGGCCCCGTTACTTAAGCTACATCATCTTGTGAGGTCTAGAAGTAAGTCTTCTTTTTCATGGTTCTCTGAAATAATATCCCCCAGAGGTCCATACTATTTTTTGTATAAAAATAAACTTCAGGATTACATCTGATCTCACTAAAAAAAAATCTACTTTTTCATCTGACAGTTCAAATGGTTTATATGAGATTACCTCTAGAAACCACAAGAATCTTCTGAAGTGGTTTGGCTGAGCATGATTGGCTCAAACTCACCAAGTGAGCTCCACGACTTCACAACACCCTCAAGAGTATACTATGTTCATCATGACCTCACTGAGCTCACTTATGAGTAGCTCTTCAAAGTCCTAGATACGACATTTTCTGAATAGGAATTCTGTTATTCTGTCCCCGAATAGGAATATTCTAAAATTATCTGACAATTCAAATACAAACCCAGCAATTTCCTGTTTCAGTTGTATGCATAGCTGAGGCAGATAACAAAAACAGGCACTGATACATTAGTGATGCATCAGTCATATGAGGGTAAAAATCATATTCTGCAGGATACAAACAGCCGACTCACACATTCCTTCCATTTGCTATGGGTATGCTAGTATATTTAGGACACAGTAAAGTCATGAGGATTCATTTGCTAACAGTCACAGTGAGTTAATCTTGATTCTCTTCCTTCCTTTATTGTTTGTGCTAAAAAGCACCATGATGGTACTGAACAAATTATGCATACAAAAAGCATTTTGTACCATTATAACCTAAAAAAGAAAACCTGAGCTGAGGCTATGTAGATGAGGGATATACTATATAGATAAAGCAGTAGGCATGGTTTCCAGTGGTTAGATTATTGGGATCAAGCACTTTACCCTAAAAATGTCCTCTTTTTTCTTATAGATGTCATTAACTTTACAGGAGAAATGTGAACTCTGCACTTATGAATATTTGTTAGGGGTATCCTTAACATACGGTGGCCAAACTATTTTGACAGTAACAGTTCCTTGTAGTGGAAGAAGCTATTTGCCAGCACACCATTATTGATTTGGAGAGGGGGGCTAGCAGTTGGGAATAAATTAATGCCAAAGAGCAATAGGCCATCTGGAGATTTGTGGTTATATCTTTTTTCCAAGATTTGGTGATTAGTACTTACCTTAAATAATGCTTGATACTTACCATTGCCAATCTAGACAAATGGATACATAGATGGGCTATGGTAAGCCACCAGCATATCTTGAAATGCTGAATGGCCCCAAGATTGAATGGTTTTTTTAAAGGAGCAAACTTAGTACTTTAAGGTCCATGGATACTTAATGTCCACATTTCATCTCTTAAAACTCCTAAATGCCCTAATAATAATAATAATAATAATAATAATAATAATAATAATAATAATAATAATAATAATAATAATAAAGTTGGAAGGGACCTTGAAGGTCATCTAGTCCAACCCCCTGCTCAGGCAGGAAATAGGAATAGGTCTTGCTTGTTTTGAAGTGCAATTTTGGCATATTTCAACATGCTTGTGTTACTTAGTTTGAGCCTTTTAAATAGATATGTGATGAAAACAGGAAAACACTGTTTGCATGAAGCAAGATAATATTTAAGAAACTGTCCAAGAAACCTGAAGATTAATATCCTGATTTCATATCATTAATTTGTAAATACTGTATGTAAAAATCATATTTGTATAAAATCAGCATAGATAGACCTTGACTTACAACATTCATTTAATGACCATTCAAAGTTACAACAGCACTGAAAATGCCTTACAACCAGTCCACCCATTTATGCCCGTCACAGCATTCCCCCCATATCCATGTGATCAAAATGTATAGCTGCATATAAATATATAATATTTATTCTTGTATGTACAGTATGGAATGACAAAGATATATGTCAAGGATGATACACTATGTTCAATGTTTTTAATTTTGTATTCAATAAAATGTATAAATTAAAATAAAAATAAAAATTGGGTACTCGGCAACGGGCAGGTATTTATGATGGTTGCAGCAGCATCCTGGGGTCACATGATCACCATTTGCAACCTTCTCAGCCGGCTTCCAGCAAGGAAAGTCAAAAGGATGAAGCTGGACAAGCGTAGCAAAAAAGGTCACAAAATTGGGTGAGCACACTTAACAACCACCTTGCTTAGCAATAGAAATTCTGGTCCCAGTTGTGATTGTAAGTTGAAGACTATCCTGTATTTATCTTTTTTGATTTTACTCATGGATGTGTTTGTGAGTTTTAAATTGCTATACTTATTTGTGTTATTCTGTGACAAGAAGACAGTTACTACAATAGTATAATTTTAAGAATGAACTTTATTTAAAAACATTTTTTTTAAAATAAACTGATTTGGGTGACAATGCCCTTGCAAGGAATGTGGATTGTTGGTGCTTTTTATTTGGAGTAATAATATGACATGAACATGGGTGAAAATGCATTTTCATTAACCGTTACCTCTTGCTGGTCATGATTCATTCTGAAATAACTAGACGGATTTCCTAAAATTACTGGGTACAATTCTGAATCATTTTTATCGATTGCCTTCTGATTCTTGTTGTTTCTGCACTGCTTACGATTCTTCCTACCTTTTTAAATGATAAGCATGTCAATCATAGACAGATGACACTATACATGAATGTGTAAATATTTGCAAGGCCATGTCTGTTATTGTGGAATTTGACCAATTATACTAATCTAAGTGTTGCTTCAAAATTATGTGGTTCCATTCTTTCTGCACAGGTTCCAAAGATGGAAGTATTTTGGAGATTAATATTACTCCTTGTCCTGCACAACCTTGCCTTCTCCACAGAGGAGTGTCTTACAGCGTCAATGTTACATTTTCCAGTAGTAAGTATGACCTATTCATTTTGAAGTGCAAGATTAATTTCCCAAACAAAGCTTTTTCAGAACGTTTTCAGCATTCAAAGTGGGGTTATTTTCATTATCCCAAATGTCCTACATATAAGTGCATTCATTTAGAATAGTTATATAAGAGCAATTTTATATGAAACAATTTCACTGAGAATCATTATTAGCAATCAGCTATGTGTAGTTTTAATAGAGTTCATAGACAAAAATCCATGACAACCATATATAGAACATGATTGTCAATGTTTCTTTTGATGTTGTGTAACTCGGGAAAATTGCAAACGGCTGTGATTTTTCTAGTATGTGCACAATACAAAATGATAGCAACTACAGTTTTATATGCAGTGGATTTTATTTATGGAAGTGTTTTCTCTGTAGGAACCTCAGAAAAGGGAAGTAAAGCAGAAAATCTGTCATCGGTGAAACTTTCTAGTATTATAAATTATAAAGCAGTTGGCTTAATGGATAGGAAAGGACACAGTCTCGACATGGAATATTGAGAACACTTCCTCATTGTGAAATGTAGTATTGTAGTCTCCATTCCTTGTCCTATTGTTAAGATTAACCTCATTTTTCTTGCACAGAAATTGAAAGCCAAGGCAGCAAAGCAAAGGTGTATGGGGAAATAATACATGTGGATGTTCCTTTCCCACTTGACGAGCCTGATGGATGCAAGAGTGGGATCAAGTGCCCTATCCATAATGGTCATACTTACAGCTACTTGAACAAGCTGCTAGTAAAGAGCGAGTACCCATCTGTGAGTATCTTAGCAGACTGATTTCTGTACTTGGAGCTACTTTTCATGATTCTTCATCTCATTTATGAAATAGGATGCTCATAATTGACCATTTGGTCCTACTTTGGATGGTTTTGCAATGGTTTTTTGCAATGGGAATATTTAATTCTACAGAAAGAGGGTTCCATTCTCCAGGGAAAGACCATTAGTTCACTTATTTGTCTAACTTTGTGAAAGTACAATTTCTAAATTATATAGATTGTGGAAGATGATTTCATACAGTGCTTCTTTCCATGAAACCTTCCCACATTTAGAATATCAGCATATTGGGAGGAAACTTCACTGGGAACAAGGAATGGTTTCTATAACATGTTCAGCTATGTTTACCCTCGGCAGTCTGAAATGATACGGTCTCTGTAGTCATTTAGCTTATTATATTATGTATGTGCAATTGTGATTTCAGACCTCACAAAATAACAATCTCAGTTTTATCCCTCATAGCAAGGGATGCAAAATCTAACAGTTCTAACAAATATTCAAGGACATACATTTATTCAGAGAAAGAAATTTGCCATGTTGGCGAGGGAGTTATGAGTATGATCCCCACATTCAAACATATGAGATATGAAACCCATTTCAAGTTCAAGTTCATATGGCATATGGCATTTTGTAATTTTTTCCTCCAATAACCCCAAATCTTAATATCTGAGGATCAATTGTTTTCATTACTTTCCTTTTTTTTCTAGATGAAACTTATTGTCAAGTGGGAGTTATATGATGACGAAGAAGGATTATTATTCTGCTGGATGATTCCAGTTCAAATTACCAGTTAAAAAAGCCATTTAGCCCTCAAGAGTTACAGAGGATGGAAGGTGGGGTTTGATAAAGACAAGTAAAATATTTTGCTACACCAGGCGGTTCCTGTTTATCCTATGGTATCTGTGCAATAATTGTTCTCCGAGACATAGTCTAGATCAGTGTTTCTCAACCTTGACAATTTTAAGGCATGTGGACTTCAACTCCCAGAATTCCACAGCCAGCATTGCTGGCTGTGGAATTCTGGGAGTTGAAGTCCACATGTCTTAAAATTGACAAGGTTGAGAAACACTGGTCTAGATGAAGAACAAAATGGATAGCTAGAATAAAGAGTGGGTTGGTGGATATCTTGCTGTAACTCAGGGCAATGTTTTTATAATTGAAAGAAAATCTGTTTGGAAGATTTATATTGCTTGATAGAGAATATCTACCACAAAAATTATTTCTTCTAAAAAAAAAAAAAAAAAAACTGGCCCAGCAAAATTGATCACTGTGTTTCTATCTTTTCAGTGCCTCTTGTGGTCAGATGCTGGCTGCAAATTTCCATCTGCTTTCCCCCTTCCTCTTTATATTATGACCTAAATTATTTTTTAGAAATGAAGTTGCCATCTGGAGCCAAAACGAGACAGGATAGCCACTTTTTGTAACTAATTCTGTAGATATTATACTCTCAAATGCCAAACCAAATGGCACTTGATCTCTATGCAGAAATAATTTATGTTAATCACTTTGCACTATCTTGTAAGTCATTTAAAGTTGCTATGGGGTGAATTCCTAAATACAGTCAGCTTTTGTAACTGTTTCTAATAAACCAGCATAATTAAACTTTCTCTCTTTTTTTTGGCGATAATGAAATATTTGCTTATGGTAAAAAGATTCCTTCGAGTTGATTTTGACATCCAGTAATTACACAAACATATCCGTTTGGTTCTTTTGGCAGCAATATATAAATTGTTTGTATTGCCTCCTCCTGAGACATTCTTTCAATTTTTCAGTCAAGCCTACAGCCCTAGAAAATTAGATTGATCTTCCATCCAAGACTAGCCCTGCTTAGTTTTTTGGTACCAGCCACAGTTAGCTAAGTATAGTCTTCTAATACTCTAAAGAGTATCTTACATATGTGAATGATGGTGTGGCTGTGGATACTGCTGGGACTGAAAGATATACTGTCATATATAGAATGCTTTCATTTGCTCAATCTGTAAAAGTATTTTTTCCAAACTAGCCATCCCTCTTCTACTTGTTAAATCAACAAGAACCTATCTGGTTCTTCCCAAGAGTTTCCAGTTCTAAGCTTGGAAAGAGAAGGTAGAAACATATATGACCAACCACAGTCTATAAACCATTAGGCACAATTAAAAAAAACATATTTATTTAACATGTATTTTTTTTCCAATGGAAAGCTCTGCATTACTTTTTAAAACTAAAGAGCTATAACATTTCCCACTTCCCAAAGTAACATTCCAGCAATCACAGAAGGTGCAGTTGGATGTCCGTGGCTTGTGGTGAACAGAAAGCCCCAAAAGGCCAATGAAGTCCAAGCCACAATCAGACTATAAATAGTTGCTCTAACTCTGGAGGGCAAAATGTGTGCTGGGCTTGGATGTAGGTACTGTTTCTTTTGATTTGTTAATAAGGATAACTTTAAGGGAAGGTTATATAGATTCTTGGCTGGATTCAATTGGAAGCCAATTGTCCATTATCTGTGGAATGCGAATTTCCTTCAGCCGTGCTAAAAAGAGGTCATAATGCATTAGTAGCTGTGAGGCGGACACAAAGCTCAGACTAGTTCTGAAAAGACTAGAGTAAGGATTATAAGTAAATTTAGGAAGCAGCATTCTATGAATGGTAAAGAAATGTAAGATGACATGGGATAAGTGAGAAATTGGTACAATAAAGGGGTAAAGCCTTGTGAGAATAATTCAGGGGGCACAAATTTGTTCACCTATGATCTAAACAGAGAAACAAAAGATGAACAGGAAGGAGGGAGTGTACTGCTGGTTTATCCATCACAAATTAGTAACAAGGCCAAAAATCTCTGATAAAAATGGCATGATAGTTTTTCAAATGCACATACAGTATATGAAGATTGGGCCCTGAGTGTTTACACTGGCTGAAATAATGGTAATTGAACAGATCCATATGTTGAGTCTTTGCTTTCTGGGAAATAAAATGTTTTAAAGCTGCTGAATTCTCTGAAACGCTTTTCCGGCTGCACAGATTTCCAATTCTTGAAACAAATGGCTGAAAATGTTGCCTCCACTTCAACTCTTCTTTTACAATTATGCTGCCTCTGGATTTTGTGCAGTCTCTGGAATGCAGTGAGACTCCACTAAAGCACTGCCAGGTGAGCAAGTGCAGCGATAGGAGCCCTCTGTGTTTTCACAGGCATTACCTTTACAAAGAATCATGGAAGCATTTGCTACTTCACATTCATTGATATCTAATGAGGAAAGGGGAAAAAAGAACACTTTTCAGATCCAACAGCACAGGACCTTTCTCACATTCCTTTTAGTTTATAAGCTCATACCTAAATTGAAAAAGTGCTGGGTAAATATAAAAGCAATTACACTAAGCTCTGGTGCCATTCACCATCCTCTACACATGCCACTTTCTACTGGGATATAGATTCCTGGTAGGAAAGGCTGTGTTGTGCTTCCAGGGCAGGACTTGGATACAGTAATCCAGGTTCCTATTTAGCAGAAAGAGCCTATACAGTCAACAAAATAATATACATTCTAAAAGTAAATAAAGTAATACTCTTTCATCTTAAAGAGGATGGACTATAGGTCATTATGATTAGGATCTAAAAATACATAAGGTTGCTGCCTGCAAACACCAAGAAAGATTTTAAACAACAGTAGGCTTGTGAAATACACCATGGCTGTTCTTTGTATCTCGTTTAAACTGAAGGTGATTCAAAAGCTATCTGAAGTGAGCAGAATTCAAATATTGTACAATACTGAGGTACTTGCTTTCTGGATTAACCTTGTATTGCATAAAAACTTTGCTATAATGATGGAGTGAATAAAGCTCTTCTAAACTTTAAATTATGTCTTCAATAATTTGGTAAGAGCATGAATTCTCCAGCAAAACACCCTTGAGCTGTGATGGAACTGATAAATTCACCTGGATTTTACAGCAACCAATCATTTTGTGATGAGCTGACCAGCCATATAAAGAAGCATTTTTATCTGGTCTCAACTGGCTAGAAAAGAGGTACGGTAATAGCAATTATAAATGCTCAATAAATAACATCCTGTACTACATAAACAGCCATAATACGACTAGTTCTAGAGCTCTATGAAAATATGTCCTTAGGACTGATGGGTTGACATGTTCAGGCAGTGGTGTTTATAGATAGTTTGTATAAAAGCTATTGATAGGCTATGCTTAGGAAATTTTCAGTACTAAAGCACTGAAATCTTCCATGAGTCAGTTCTGTCTGCAAATGCACACAGCTCTTTCATTTCTGATTCATGATCACTAATGCCCAATTGTAATTCTGGTTTGACCTCCCCTCTGTGGTCTGACTTATATACACACCCTGATAATGTGGTTTGCTTCTCTTTAGCATAGTAACAGTGGCAAGCAACCCGTTAAACACCTCTTCAACAATTAAAATTAAGGTTAACAACATTTTAAAAGGATGCACAACCCTCGTTAGTAAGGGTTTGGGGGATCTTTGCTGTACTGTTTTTGGCAAGATCTACCACGTTTTCTTTCATGGAACTACTTACCGACACAGGCCATGAGCTTCAAATCTAACTGGAAGCCATCAAAGCAATCACAAGTGTAGCCTTCTTGCACACGCACACAGCGTCCATTTTCACAATCATTCAGAATTCCACACTCTTTAACTTGTAGCCCTTCAAAGCTGCTGAACTGCTCTGAAAGGTGAGAGAGTAAGAAATAGGTATTAAAAACAAAATGGAACAGGATAATCTTGTAAAGGAAACATGCCAAAATGGTTCTTTCAAATGTATGTGTATGTATATATGCATATGCATATGCATTAAGGGCAAGCATGGACCTTTGCCTTGAATCTCTGAACAACCTAACCAAAAGAGGCATTTTCTTTCCATTGGCCCTCCTTTTTCAGATGGCACCTACTCTTTCATTAATCCAATTAAGAATACTTGCATATGAAAAGGATTACAAGAAGAAATCAGAGAGGCTTCCAACTACATGATCCAGCAAGTGATATAAATAATCTCTTCAGTTGAATTAGCATAACTGGCTCTGTGGAATTAGCCATTAAAGAACTTCTCTTTGGATGTCGGAAGACTCTAGCTTGTGCACTTGGCTGAAACCCAAGATTTTGTGTTGCATTTTGGGCCAATCTCTGGACCTGTTCTTCAAAAAGCAGGAAATGGGATTGAAGGTCAAAATGCCTACATTTGGAGTGTAATATACTAATAGTATATACCTAAGCATATCTGAGCTATTATTTATTTTTCCCTGACATTTACCAACATGCTCAGGCACGTAGTCAGGCTGTGTCTGATCTGGGAGGATCTGTTGTCTTTGTGGTGTTGCACTATCCTCAAATGCATTGCTTTCTTCTCTGTTGGTATCAGCTGCTCCATCCTCATCCAAGCGATCCAGATCTGGGATGTAAAGCTCATATTGATGACTGCCCTGATTTGACCCATACTCGTAGCTGGGCCTTTCTTGGAGTTCAGCCCCCCTTACTATACTGCACAGCTGATAAAAATCATCTAAAAAGAGAGAGAGCAAAGAAAAAAGTTAATAAAGGAATACTTTTCATGCAATAATGCCTGAATATTGCAATTGTTGTTATAAATTATGTATCTTTAGAGCTGTAGCAGAATCAACTAGGGCTGAGAGTGAGGATTAGCCTATAATAGCATCCTGGCAATGCAATGCTTTTTCCCAAGGAGCAATCTGATTATGTACATGATTATTATATAAATACATTTATAAAATGCATAACATGTATATTAAATGTGTATATAATATCTGATTCCATACCTTTTATCTACCATCTATCCATCTAATAATCCAACTAAGT